TTACTCTAGCATTGTATAGTCGCATTGTTGTATGTTTGCTTGAAAGCGAGTTTTCAATTTTTTTTCGTGCCCCTAACAGAGAAGAAAAAAGGAATGGTAGAACTCGCGTTACCAACTTGAAGAGACCTTCTTGACGTAGTAGAAGTATAACTTCCACTCGCGACTCCGAGGGACAGCTTTTTCTTGCTCGGACTTCTGAGGGAAGCCTTGTTTCTGCCTCGAACTTCAGAGAGGACAGCCTTGGCTTCGGCTCGACTTCTGAGGGAGAGCCCTTGTATTCTCTCGAACTTCATGAAGGCGACAGCCTTAGCTTCTGCTCGGACTTCTGGGAGACAATCTTTATTTTCTGTTGGTCAGCTTGGTAGACTCGGGTTATCTTCCAGAGGAATTCTTGCTTGCCAAAGTAGGGTGTGTGCTACCTTTTCGGACTCCCGAGGGACAGTCTTGCTTCTGTTCAGACTTCCGAGAACAGCCTGTGCTCTCATTAGTTCGGTTCAAAAGGGCCCCGAGGTCGTGGATTTTAATCAAAGAATTCATTTTCCTGAAATAGCAAAGCAACAAATGAGACAAACAATATCAATTGTCGAGCGATTTATCAGAATGGCAGGCAAACATCAACAAATCACACTAATTATCTATTTAAGCTACAACAATTTTATTACTCTGAGCACACGTCTCATGTGAAAATGGCAAACTATCAGAGTTGTTGTCTTCCGGGCTGTTCCTTCTCAAGCCGACGTTAATACTACAACGCCACCACAAAAAAATTTTTGGCAGTCAGTTATGTATTTCCCAAGCATCCATAAAAAGTTAAACAAAACAACAATATAGCGTCTTTATTATTCAACAGAGGAGAGGGGAAGCCAATTTTCATACTCACAATTTGGACTGTTAGAGGGGTTGAAGTCGAAGCGCGATGTTGGAAATTCAAGTTAAAATCAGAGAGGTTTTACAGGACTGTAATCAACAAAGACTGCTAGGCTTGCAGGGACCACACACGTTGCGTTGAGTGGGCGAACGGCGGGGTGGGCGTCGGACAAGTCAAAGCCGGGAAGCAACGCTGTACCACAGAAGACAGTGTCAGCAACACACACGTTGCGTGAGAGGTCGAACGTGTGTGCGATGTGCGTTGGAACCGTCGAAGTCACAGTATAGAATTGCCCGGAGCTGGAACCAGTGAGTGAAATAAAAGCAAAAGATTCTTCATGTATTCGGAGCCTTTTATAGAATGGTGCAATAAGCAGGAGGGCACACCAACGACGAAAGCTGAACAGCGTTACCGGTGTCAAGACCACACACGACGCGTTTGAGTACGGGCGACGGGTGTGGTTGCATATGTGGAACCGCCGAAGCTGTGAGAAAGAAGAGTTTATAAAGCAAAGAGAGGCTGAATGGAAGCGAGTGGTTCAAAAAGTCTTTGGGCACGAGTGGTTATCAAAACTTGACATCAGTGCCTATAAAACATCTCCAACAGTTTGACACATCAATATTCAATGCTCAAGCATCAATATTCTATCTTACGTGGAGATTTGTTAACATGTATTTCAAGGGACTACAGTTTCTATGCAAAGTCAAGATTCAATAGAGGCTAATAGCTATTCCCTCAAGGACAAAATATTTCAGATATAGCTGTTACCAACAAACTCAAAAGATTCAATTATCTTTCTCTCATCACCAATGTAACTCTAAGCAAACAATTAAAGTACCCCATCTATAGTCAATATTTATCGACACAAAGTCAAAGCTCCACCCAAATATGAATTTTCAGGGCATACATTTCATCATGAGTTCAAGATCCAATCGGAGGGTTCAACAAATAGCAATACCAATGTGTAGTTAGTGCGATCGACGAGAGCAAGAACCCACCCGTTTGTTTCTTTCTTTTCAACGAAAGCCAAAGTGTCATTTTGTCTACAATTCAAACCAAGCTTCTGAGTAAGTTTCAAATCAGGAATTACAATATTCAAACATTCAATATTGTGATTTTTAGCAAACATCAGATTTTGAGTCAACCAAAAATGCCTCAAAGGGACTGCTCCTCATTTCTAGGAAAACACCCCATACAAGCGGAGGGCTTATTCAAAGTATAAATTATGGTATCTTTAAGCAATGAGCAGCAATTGGACACATCAAGTTTCACAAAATATAACTTATATCAGATGTTTAGAGAGATTCTGAAGTTGGGTTTACCACCAAAGGAAGGCTTCCACCAATTTTTCTTTAAAAAAAATTTTACGAATAGCTTACCCACCAACGTACAGCAAGCGATAAAGAAAGAAAGGTGGTAGAACAATGGCAGACCGGACACCACGTTGAATCGTGTGATGTGGTCACGATTTGCGAGGTTGGAGTGGCTAAGAGTGATGAATTCAGTGGGCGAGAAAGTATACCGACAGACCGACGCCGCGTTGAGTGGGCGGCGATGGTCGTCATTGATCAGCCTACGGTCGATGAAATGAAGCACCAGGTGCAAAAGTTGGGCGTGAGATGCAGCGAAGAGAAAGTGATCGGAGGTGGAGTAAAGAGAGACCGATGGCGGCTGATCGGAGCCTTGGAACAACAAGAGGTTGACGGCAACTTGGGCCCACGTTGAAATAGGTGAAGTCTGCCGATAGTGACAGTGGTGGCTTGACGAGTTTGGTGCCGGTGGCTAGCCAACAAACCGTGACAGTGGCTTGCTGTCTTCGGCGGCGTTGCGTGATAGCCACGATTACCACTCTCTCTCACAACGCAGCAGCCCTGTTCTTTTTTTTGAAGAAGAACGTTTTGGTTTCTTTGAAACAAAAAAAAAAGAAAAAAAAGAAATGAGCTGAGGCTGGGTCGTATCTTTTGTCGGCTCAGTTTCATATCTGCGGGTAAGCTGCACAAAAGGGCATCTGGGAATGCATAAGCTTCTGTTGTAGAAGCTGAAAGAGTCCGAAACCGCCTGATGGACACCATCCATTGGGTGGGGGAGGTTGCTGTGCAATCAATAATGATGGGATTTAAGAAAGAAGGAGCTGGCGAAAGAGAAGGAACTAAGATGCCGCGTCAACACCTGTGGCCTGTTTCGAATAACATGCGATGGATGCAAATACTGGATGCTGGTAAGGCCTGTGGCGGCTGCGCGAAAGAAGATAATAATGGTAATATAAGATTAGTATTATTTAGCCAATTGACGGGTTTTTTGAAGCCTTTCGTTGCTCAACTAATATGAGATGTATATAAATCCAAAATGAAAGGAGCATTTATCTTGCCAATAATTATCTAATCCTACTAATATTCTGAAACATAATATGTATATTATAGGTAATTGATCTGCAATTGTTGTTTGACAAACAACGAACCAACCAAAAAATCGCTCCTTCAATACTACTTGTTAAATAAAACATGTGATATATATCCTTCAAAAAAAAAAATAGGCAACTTTATTACCGAAGATGTACCTCGAGAAACAGAGAATTATATATGTATATTGTCTCTTGTAACTACATTTTGTTGGATAAAGTCCTGTTACCACGTGCGTCCAAAATCCAACTTTATCCATAGGCTCTGTTCGTGACAAAATCATTTTTTAAATTTGCGGGGGAACGTTGCGATGCGGAATTCAGCAGGGTCTCTAACGAAATGACAGTATGCGATGTCTGAGAGAAGTTAAAACATTTTCTAACAAATACAATGCAAGAGGTGTGCAATCAATATGTTAACGTAGGGGCTATTTGAGCCCACTAAAGTAATTGATTCCCGTAATGCCCAAAATAGGCCCAAGAATTTAGTTGGCTCCGAACCTCTAAAGATCTGCAAGTCGCGAAGAATTGGTGGCGCCTAGATTTTATCGCCATCAAACTGATTGAATCGCTGTAAGCCTCGAAAGGGTTGCGGAGTCACGAGGACCTAGGAGACTCCTACTCGGGTCCCGCCGAGAACTTCGAACAAGGTATTAAGTCTCAAACGCCTAAGAGATCCGAGGCACTCGCGACTCGAAAGGATTCGGGAACCCACGAGATCTAGAGATTCTCCGAAGTACTTGCGTTTTGTTCGATGACACGGATTCAGACGCAGTCTAGAAAGTGCGCTCCGTTAACTGGAGTCACAGAACACTTGCGGGCCGGAGCTTTCCGGGATCTACGCACCAGAACCATGCGGCTCCTAGATATCCCGCGGAGTTCGATCCACCAACCAAGGAGACCGATCCCGAGGACGTTTGATTTGCAAATCCATAAAATTCCACTCTTCGGCATTAACACTATAAGCCTCTATAAAGTCCGGCGTCGAGGTGCGCACGACCTCCGGTGGGGCGTCCATGAGACTCGCAATATTTTGCGGGGCATGGTGACCGTCCTCCTGGTGACTTACCCCGACCCCTTTGGATGATTGGGATCAATTGCGTTAGCTGTGAACAAGACAAAAGTAAGGTTCGCCGGAGGAAGTTGATACTTCACTAAATCTTCTTGGGATTTTCTCATCCTCGGAGAAGTCACCTCCTGGAGTAAAAGTACACTCTCGTGAGTAGCTCACCCTTTTCCAATGCAGAAACGAAAAGGTGGTTATGTAGTGAAGAGATATATTTGCGCCCTCATTGGTTGCCTTGCACATGGTCGAATGCGCAGATCATCATGATTACGGTAAGAACTGCGGTCCACCTAAATTATATTACACCCACAAAACCGTCATAGCTTTCACATAAGAGGATGACATATGAGAATTTAACTCTTGGCGACACACACACTTAATTTCCCTCTCTCCATTATCAGACACCTCTGAGGACAGAAGTGAAAGTGGGAGATCAATGGGAGAGCCTTGCCATTATTCTATTCTCTAGCCATTTTGCCTTCTTCTTCACCCAATCTCTTATCTCCATCATCTCCTTTGTTGTCGTGTTCCTAAGTTGAGATTATTGAAGAATCTAAGCCTCTCATCATATTCTAGAGAATTCGAAATTGTTCTTCAAGGATCTTCGAAGATTTTCGAATTTTCCAACTCCTTTCTTGAACCCTCTCCTACAGTGGGCAGGTTAGAAGCATTGGTGAATAACTTTAATCCTAATTTTTCTATTCGCTTTGGAGGTGGTAACATTGTGTTAATCTTGTTTGGGTCCAAGGTTGAATTGGATAAGGATTTCAGTTCGGTAGCTGTGATTATCCAGGAGACTTGTATGAAGAGGTATGATCTTGGGGGGGAGGAATGTGCATTAGAACCCTCTCGTCTTGTTTGGCTGCATTGTTTTGGCATTCCTTTCCATCTGTGGAATCTGAGTACTTTCCAGAGGATTGGCAACTTGTAGGGTGACTTCATCAGAGTTGATTCCTTGGATTCAAAATCACTAGTTTGTGGAAGAATTCTAGTGCACACTAGAGTTATGGAGTCTATTAGCTCAATGGTGTATGTGGAGTGTAATAATAAGCAGTTTGCTGTATCAGTGTTAGAGGGGCAGGTAAGTATGGACTTTGCAGAGGAAATAGAGCAAAAGTGGGGTCTCAGTTCGCATGCCGAGCACCGGTCGGAATCTTCAGTTGTTGGTGGTAGGAGCAAGAACACGCAGAGGCCTGAGGTGGCGGTGGATAATGATGAAGAGCAGTTCTACTCTTCCCAGAAGGCTACAGGGCTTGTAGGAGCTGTAGTAGCTGGCATGCATGGTCATTGGGACTCGGTGTCGGCAGTGAATGAATCATGCTCTGTGCATGATGGTCAACGGGTTGATTGTCATAAGGAGGGAAGTAAGTTTTTGAATTGTGTTCGGCCTGTTAATGATCTGGGTCTTGTTAGGACTCAGATGGGCTTCATGAGGAGTATCAGTACGTCAATTGGGCCACAACCAAGTTCGAATTTAGAAGTTGTGCTGGGTGAGCCCTCTTTTGTTGGGCCTTCTCTTGGCATAAGGTGTGGTATTTCTGATTTAGTAAAGGTGGGCCAGATTATGGAGGTTGAGCCTTCTATAATTGGGGATCATCTGCAGGTTGCGGACATAGAGGGTGGCTCTTTTGAGTCGGTGGAGGATGGCATCTCTGGGAGCACCACTGGTGTTGTCAATAAGGTCCATTCAAAGGCCAATCTTCAACTCAGGGGTGGGAAAAAGGAACGCAAAAATCCTCTTCCTGTGGAACCGATTCGGGGGGTTACGAGACCTTAAGGGCAGAGGAGCAGAAATCAGTTAACCTATACGAAGAAAGGAGCCACCCTTAAAGCTGCGATTGCGACTTTTTCGCTGGCATCGTCTTCAAAGTCGAATTCTAGCAGAGGGAGAATTATTCTCAATGAAGCTCAAGCATCTGTGCAGTTGGGTAAAGCTTTGGGTATTGACTTTGATGCCCAGGAGGACGTGGTGCTTAGCAAAATTGCTGATTTGGAGAGGAATGATTTGGCAAGGATTGAGCAAAGGAGGAATCAGCAAGGTAGGTAAGTCTTCTCAGTGCTTGGAGTCTGCTGGGGTTTTTTTTTGTCATCTTTTATGCATCTTTTGTCCTGGAATATTAGAGGTTTGGGGAGTGAGGTTAAAAGGAGGAAAATCAGGAAAGTTCTTAAAGATGAAAAGGTAGACATGGTGTTTTTTCAAGAAACTAAGAGAGAGGTCATCAATTCTGATATGGTGAGATCCATTTGGCCTTTCGATAGCTTTGAATTTCTGGAAGTAGGTGCGATTGGATCCGCTGGTGGTCTTTTGTGTGTTTGAAATCCTGGTATCTTCTTGCTTCAGGATAGTTGTTGTTCTAGGAATTTTATTGTGGTAACTGGTAAAGTTAAATCTGGTTTTGATGGTGTGCTAGTCAATCTTTATGCTCCCAATGAAGTTGTTAAGAGAAGAGAATTATAGGATTTGATTGTTAGGATCAAGCCACTGTTTCCAAAGCCCTGGTGCATCGGGGGTGATTTTAATGAGATTAGGTGTTTAAGTGAAAGAGTAGGTTGCTCCAGGAGAAGTGTGGGTATGCATGACTTTAATGAGTTCATTGATAATCTTGAGGGGGTGGAGCTGCCAATGTTAGGGAGAAAATTCACGTAGAGCAATTCCAGGGATAATGGAAATTGGAGTCGCATTGATAGGTTCATTCTTGATTCTGAGTGGCTTGCTGTTTTCAATTTTAAGTGTTGGGGGTTACCTAGGACGGTTTCTGATCATTGTCCTATTGTTTTGAAGGAGGATAATAGGGATTGGGGTCCTAAACCTTTCCGGTTTATGAATTGTTGGGTTCTCCATTCTGATTTTCTGCCTATGGCTGAAAAGGTTTGACTCGAAGATGGGTCTGAGGGGTGGGTTGGTTATAAGTTGTTCAAAAAATTGGGTCGTCTTAAGAAGCATCTTAAGGAGTGGAATGTAACTGTGTTTGGCAACCTTTCTTCCCAGCTAAGACTTGCTGAGGAGGAGTTCCATCAGTTAGACTTAATAGCCGAGTCTAGAGAATTATCAGTTGGTGAGAGTTCCAGAAGAGCTGAGCTGAAGGAGTTAATTTGGAAATTAAGTAAGAGGGCTGAGTGGTTTTGGCTTCAAAAATCCAGACAAGATTGGGCTCTTAGAGGTGATAAGAACACAAGGTTTTTCCATTTGATAGCTAAGTGCAGACAGAATATTAACCTCATTAATTCAGTGGTAGTTAATGGGGTGGTGGTTGATGATCCAGCAACAGTAAAACTAGAGGTCTGGAATCACTTTAAGAGTGCTTTTTCAGAATCTTGGAAGGTCAGGCCTAGAATAGGGGGTGTCTTTCAGACCTTAGCTGGTTCCCAAGCTTCTGATCTGGAAAGGGAGTTCTCAGAGGCTGAGGTGTGGAATGCTTTGAGGGCCTGTGATGGGAATAAGGCCCCTGGGCCAGATGGTTTTAATCTTTTGGCTATTAGGAAGTGTTGGAATTTTATGAAAGGGGGTATCATATTATTTTTTAATGAGTTTTATGCTTATGGGAAGCTGGCCTCCGGCCTTATATCTTCTTTTATTGCTCTTATTCCTAAGTGTGATAATCCTTGTAGCCTCAATGAGTACAGACCTATCAGTCTTATTGGCTCCATGTACAAGATTCTAGCCAAGGTACTTTCTAATAGGCTGAAGTCAGCTATTCCTTCTATTATTAGCCCTACCCAGTCAGCTTTTTTGGGGGAGAGATTCATCCTTGATGGGGTGCTTGTAGCAAACGAGGTGTTGGATTGGTGGCGGTGTAAAAAGAAGAGAGGTGTGATTATTAAAATCGACTTTGAAAAAGCGTATGATTGTGTAAATTGGAGCTTCTTGCTTAATATGATGGAGAGTTTTGAATTTGGTCACAAATGGAGGAGTTGGATTCATAGCTATGTTACTAATGCTAGAATTTCTGTCTTAGTCAATGGCAGCCCTACAAATGAGTTTATTGTTGAGCGGGTTCTGAGACAAGGGGATCCCCTCTCTCCCTTTCTATTTAATCTGGTTGTGAAGGGTCTTAATATTTTGATCTTGAGGGCTAGAGAGTTGGGTCTCTTTAATGGGGCTGTTGTTGGGAATGATTTGGTTAAGGTTTCACACCTTCAATTTGCGGACGACACCATCTTATTTTGTGAGGCCAATCTAGAGGAAATTCTTTGCATTAAAAGATTGCTAAGATGTTTTGAAGTTGTGTCTGGCCTCAAGATTAATTACAGCAAAAATATGGCTATTGGGGTTGGTGTAGATGAGGTCAGTCTGGACCAATATGCTGCTATTCTCAATTGCTCTAAAGGTGTGCTTCCTATTTCTTTTTTGGGTCTTCCTCTGGGTGTTAGTCTTAGACTCAAAAATACTTAGGCTCCTGTCATTAGGAAGTTTAAAGTTAAGCTTGCTAGCTAGAAGAGAAGGCACCTGTCTTTTGGTGGAAGGTTATCTTTGATCAATTCTGTGTTGAACAATCTTTCCGTTTATTATTTATCTTTGTTCAAGTTACCTGAAGGTGTTGCTAAAGAACTTGATAGAATTCAGGCTTCCTTTTTATGGGCTGGTTCTGATCTTAAGAAAAAGGTTCATTTGGTGAAGTGGTCTGAAGTTACTAAAGAATTGAGAGATGGTGGTCTTGGTATTAGAAGGATTAGAGATGTGAATCTGTGTCTTCTGGCTAAGTGGTGGTGGAGGTTTGGGTGTGTGGAGAAGGCTTTGTGGAAAGAAATTATCTGCGGCAAATACAAGTTTGATCCAAAATCTTGGTTGCCTTCAACTAATTCCCAAATCAGTGGTTCTAGAGTTTGGTCTGACATTCTGTCAGCAGTTGTTTCTAAGCCTATCTTTTTTGATTTTTTGCACTCTCATATATAGAATTGAAGTAGAAGATGGGAATAGGTGCTCTTTTTGGAATGACTCATGGACTAGGACGGGTTGTTTAAAGTTGGCTTTCCCTAGACTTTTTATGCTCTCACAGGATAAAGAGGCATCTGTCTCTGTTATTTTGAGTAAGAGGTCTTCTCCTAATGGGTGGGTGTTTAACTTCAGAAGAAGACTCTATTCCTGGGAATCTGTAGATCTCTCTAATCTTATTTTATTGCTCAATTCTGGCCCAGTGTTAAGATCTGGTGTAGAGGACAAATTGGTGTGGACTTTTGGTGCCTCAGAGGTTTACTCAGTGAAATTAGCCTATGAATGGATTTCCTGCACTAACAGATCAAGTGTTCTAGTGCCTAGTTTGCTTTGGAAGGGCATCTCTCCACCTAAAATGCAATTCATCTGTTGGCTGGCATAGAGAGGCAGACTCAAAACTTCTGTGCTTCTTCAGAATATTGGAGCTCTTGATCCCAGTGGTCCCTCTCTTTGTTGCTTTTGTAACTCATGTGCTGAAGATGTGTGTCATGTTCTTCTTTACTGTCAATTTGCTTGGCAAATCTGGTCTGACTTGGTAAAATGGTGGAGTTTGGTGTGGGTTATGCCTGATAATGTATCTCAGCTTTTGGATTGGTGGAGTGGCTTTAAATTTAAGAAAGTGCTTCAGAGTATGTGGGATGCACTGCCATCTGTGGTTATGTGGTTTGTGTGGAAGGCTAGGAATGAGATCAGATGTGCTGGTTCTGGGGCTAACTGGTGTGAAGTTTGTAAGTCCATCAAGTTACACATTGCCTTTTTGGTGAAGTATCACAATAAAGGGGTGGATTGTTCAATCAATGATCTGTTATATAATTTGGATTCCATCAGGGGGTTTTGAATTGTGGCTCTGCTACTGCTGTCTGGTGGGTGCTAGTGCTGTCGCTGTGTTGGTTTGCTGGGGTGTGTTGGGGTGATCACTTCAGTGCCCATTAGTTGATTGTTGTTGGCTATGCTGGTGTGTGGCTCTATAAATTTGCTCTGGTTCTAAGTTGATGGCATGTGTGTAGTTCTGCTTCTGCTGTTCTGTGGCATTCTGTGGGGTGATCTATTGCTTGTTACTGCCTTGCTGGTGAGTGGCTCTGGTCTGGTCTGCTGTGAATGGTGATCTATTGCTTGTTTCTGCCTTGCTGGTGAGTGGCTCTGGTCTGGTGTGTGGCTCTGTAGAGTTGCTTTGCTGCTGCTGTTTTGTGCTGCTGGTGCGTGGCTCTGTGCTGCTACTGTGTTGGTTGGGATGTAGCTGTTGGCATGCGTTCGGGTGATTTTAGTGTGTCCTTCAGTTGCAGTTTGCTTCAGCTGTTTTTAGTTCCCTAATCTCTAAAGGCATGTGTTGGGGTGATTTTTGTGTGTCCTTTAGTTGGATTTGCTTCTGCTGTTGTGTGTTGTTGTGTCTTTCTTTTGCTGGTTGAACACTTATCAACTAGCCCTTGGCTTGTGTTAGCTCTCTTTTGGGTGGCTTTTTTGTGCCATCCTTGTTTTTTTCTTTATTCATGTAAGTTGTAAGGTTTCCTCCTTGGTTCTTATTCAATAAAGTTCTTTTCGCTGATCAAAAAAAAAAGTAGAAAAATAAGTAAATGAAGTGGGCCAAATTTGATATTTAAAAAATATAAAACTATATTGAATGACACATAGGTAGACAAACTTATTATCTTTCTATTATCTTACCTACTTATAGGTGTAACCATTAAGTAGGTATAACCATCAAGTAGAAAAATAAGTAAATGAAGTGGACCAAATTTGATATTTAAAAAATATAAAACTATATTGAATGGCATATAGGTAGGCAAACTTATTATCTTTCTATTATCTTACCTACTTATAGGTAACCATTAAGTAGGTGTAACCATCAAGTAGAAAAATAAGTAAATGAAGTGGGCCAAATTTGGTATTTAAAAAATATAAAACCGTACTGAATGGCACATAGGTAGGCAAACTTATTATCTTTCTATTATCTTGCGTACTTATAGGTGTAACCATTAAGGAGGAGACAGCAAATAATAGGTGTAACCAATATTTTTTAATATTAGGGTTCATTGGGCTTTCATAATTTACTTTTTGAATTTTTTTAAATAGAAATTAATTTGATAAAAATACACACAAAATAAGATATTTTTAAATTTTTAAAAAATAATATCAAGCATGAAATAAAATATTTATGTTTTTTTCTTTAAAATTTTGCACCCAACAAGTTGTTTGAATTTTTTTTTGAGAAAATATATTTTAAAAAGTCAACCAAAGAGCCTTGCGTGATCTTTTGCTTCTTAAACTAGGCTATCGTGTATGATTGACCAAATCAAATAGTGCCTGCAGGTCAACTAATGAAGTCAATGTGTTTCACAAACAACTTAGGGCTTGTTTGATTTGTATTTGAGAAATATATTTTGAAATAAAAAGTACGAAAATTTGTTTGGCTTAGTTTTTTTTCAAAAGATGTTTTGAAAAATTATTTTGAAAGAGAGTTTTGGAAAAAATGATTGATTTGATGTCCATGAGAGAGAGATTTATTTGGAAAACTTATAAACCAAACAAGCTTTGGAAAAAAATATTAGAAAAATTTATTTGATTTGATTACCTTTAAAAATTTATTTATAGATAATTTTTCTTAAAATTTTTAAGAAACACAAACCAAACAAAACCTTAATTTTTGTATCTATGTCAACGTAATGATTCCCAATGCATCTATGTCAAATAGTGCCTGCAGGTCAACTAAACAAATGAAGCGAATATGTTTCCCAAACAATTTAGGTCAAGTTTGGAAAGTCTCAAAAAAGTTAAAAAGTTATTCAAAAATTTAAAAAATTATCACTATTTATCAAAAGTCAACAATTACGACTACACAACTCTGATTTTAATTTTTCCTTATACATTAATTTATATAATTTTTTAATACTTATTTTTCTATAAAAAGTCAAAAAGTTAATCCAAACATTCATATTTTCAACCTCAACTTTTTAATCTAAAACATAGTTGTCAAATCGACATTCATATCGTGAATCGAAATGACCTTGTACCGAATTGCGAATCGAATTGAATCGTGAATCATAAAGATTCGGTCACTTTTTTAAAATTACTTAAAAATATATATTTACACATTTAGATGATAAATATATCTTATGAATATGAAATATCTAGGCTTAAATGAATGAAAATGTTATTTTGAGTGATAATCACGTAGTTTAATAGGTAAGAAGTTAACAAAATTCTTGTGTAAGATCACTATCTTATTTTTTTTCTTTTTAGATATTTCTTATCAATCATTCTTAATAAAGATAATAACTAAAAAGACAAATTATCAATTTCCAAAATAACAATAATTAACAACGATGTTGATATTTAAACAATAAGCATACATACTTTTCTAAGTAACAGTGAACAAATAATAAGAAAGAATTATTTAGAATATTTTATTTTAAAGCTTAAAACATTTTCAAATGTATAACTGACCTCACATATGTAATATTCAATTATATTCAATTTAATAAAATAGCAATAGATAATTCATAGTGTAACTTTAATCTTAAACATCTTTAGAAGATATATTATGATTTTTTAAAGAGGAAAAAAATGAGAAAAAAGATTAAAAATACGTTGGATCTGAATGAATCTGATTGGATTCTATTAAAAACTTTATAATCACTAAAATAATAACAAATTATGTATATATGTTGGTTATTTTGGTATTAAACGCTATTATAAGTTGTATTATGTCATTTTCACTAAAAATATGGAGAAAGAAATAGTTGAAAATATGTCGGACACAATAATTTAAAAAATTACGGGAATCGTAAAAAGTGAATTGAATCGTGAATCGATTGTGAATCGTGCGACTCACTAGAGATTTACTTCCAAAATAGATTCACCCATACATTCGTATCAATTTTGCAAAAAATTCGAATTGAATCGTGAATCGAATCGCGAATCGTAAGATTCTGATAACAGAGAGATTCACTTATAGATTCGTATCGATTTTACAAAAATTGTAAATCGAATCGTGAATCGAATCGCGAATCGTAAGATTCTGATAACAGAGGTCTAAAAAGACAAAAAGTATACTTATTTAGGACACTCCAAACAACCCCTTAGTTTTTGTATCTGTGTCAACTAAATGATTACCAATGCATTTATATATACAAACACCGAACTTGAAATCGTCAGTTGAGCGTTGGGGGAAAGGAACATAAGGCTGTGATTGTGGAGGTAGCCATGGTAGCCTTCCTTTTAACTAGTCTGTGCATTTTCTTCCCTTTAGCTATATGCATAATAAAGTTCCTGCACAAGGTATGGTGGACTCCGATCCGAGTACAATATATGATGGGTTTGCAGGGAATCTGATGCGGATTGAATTTTAGAAAATAAGTATTTTTATTTTATTATTTTAAAATTAATATTCGACCATCAATATTCTAAATTGGTATAGAATATTATGAAATTATTTAGTTATTTAGTTTCCTAATTTAATATGATGTAGTTTTCCTATTTTCTTAGTTTTGATTTTATTTCCTATTTTATTTGTTTCTTGTTCTACAAGAATTAGGTTCATTATAAATAAAGATGTAAGCCTTAGGGCAAGGGGGAGAGTTTTTTGATGATTAATATATTTTGAGTTTTATTACTCTTTGTTCCAACTTTGGTTAATTCTGTGTGAATCAACTTTGGTTGAGCCTTTAAACTCGGTATTCTTGGGGAATCAACGAGTCTAAAGAGGAGTCGTATTTCCGGTATTCTTGTGTGAATCAACGGATCTTAAGATTGTTACTATTGTTTCGATCAGCACTGCATCAGAATCAAAGGATGGAAGCACCATGCAGATCATGAACATGAGAAAGGAATCCTTCGCCACTGCAATGGACTTATCACATCATATATTCCCAAGAATTATGCCTCACATTGATGCTTGGATCCAGCTATATGGTAAAAGTTCTGTTAGTATATTCCCTCACATACCTTTCTTTTTTCTTTTTATCTTCGATAAAGAAGTATAGGAGGGGGAGACCAACGCCACTGGACTTAACCATAAGAGTCCCTGCTAGCTTTAGAGCTTCGACAAGTTATAATATCTTTGGTAATACTTATCAATAATCAAGTTCGTTACTTTTATTTTAATTTTGGTTATATTTGGAGCAGGTGAAAATTATCTTCAATGGCGTGGTCCTCAACCTCAATTAGTTGTCACTGAAACTCAGCTGATTAAGGAGATATTGAGCAACAAAGATGGAGCCTTTGTTAAAACGAAGCCTAGTAGTTACGGTAAGAAGCTAATTGGAGATGGGATTGTAGTAACTCGAGGTGAAAAATGGTCAAGTTACGTAAAATCTCCAACTATGCTTTCCATGCGGAGAACTTGAAGGTAATTCTTCTTTTTACATCATCGAATTTTCTGTTCGTGAAGGATGATTAGTTATGAGGTATGCTGTAGATATTGTACCAACAATTTCAGAGAAGGGCTCGTGTGTGTGCAGGAAATGGTCCCAGCAATGACAGTAAGTGTGGAAACCATGCTAGAAAGATGGAGACATCGTGAAGGAAAGGCAATTGAAGTATACGAAGAGTTCAAGTTGCTAACATCAGAAATTATTTCACGAACAGCTTTTGGAAGTAGTTACTTGGAAGGGAAGAATATATTTGACATGTTGATTAAGTTGAGCACAATCATATCAAGGAATGAATTCAAGATTCGCTTTCTTGGCATCGGGTACGCTCCTCTTCTTGAATTTCAATCCTCTCTATTTAGTAGGATTAATAAGTTAAGGCTCATAGCATAAGAAAGCATGAGAGTATCAAGAGTCCTAACTAGTTTACGTGATCTACCATCCTTGGGGTTTCCCTAGTAGCATTTACTTACACTATAATATATAAGAGTTTTAGGTACCGAACTTTTTTGTTTTGAAAAGTAAAAATTTTGGTGAAAAAAACTTTAGAAGACAAATTATTGTCATCATGAGAGTCGTCACTAACACTTCATTTATTTTAGCAGAAAATATTTTCTAAAAAACAATTTCAAAAAACAATTTCTATAGAAAACTTTTTCGGAAAATGCTTTCCACATGAAAACTTTTTTTTATGTTTGGCTGCGTTCTTGAAATTAATGTACTAGTTGTTACATTAGTGGTGATGGTAGTGGCGACAGTAAGGTGGAGGTAAAAGTGGAGGTGTTGGAGATAATGGTGGTGGTAATGATGCAGCGGTGGTGGCGGCGATGGCAGTAGTAGTGTGGTAGTAATGTGGTAGAGATGATAGTGGCAGTGGCTATGGGGAGGTGGAGGTTGTGGCGGCAACTATACTGATGGTGGTGGAGTTAATGGTAATAGTGGTAATGTGGTGGCAATAATAAAATTTTGGTTTGGAAAACGTTTTCCGTCTTTTAAAAGTGAAATTATTTTTCCATTGATCAAAGAAAATATTTTCCGTTGACTTTTGTTTTCTATTGTACCAAACAATAAAAATGTGGAAAACATTTTTCTAGAAAACATTTTTGTCTAAACAAACAGAGCGTAAAAAATCATCCCAAAAAGTCAAAAAAGAAACTTTTGCAACAAAATTTTGAAAATATCACTAGTA